GGGTCACACCGGAATTCGGACATTGCCTGAGGCAAAATGACCAGTGTTCTTTAATCCAAACGTTCAACCTCTGGTAAGCTTTCCCAATGTATATCTTATTGCGCTTATCCAGATCAGTTTTGTACACAATAGTCGGTACCACATGTCTCCTCTGGATTGCTGGGAACGTGACTCTGAATCAGAAATATTCCTGGTGTTGTACAGTCCAAATTTTCTTAGCTGGCAAACAATACCATGAGAGAAAATATACCTCCATATGCTCTTGCATATCACATTTCAAATCTACGTAGTGTGCTGAAACGAAGCATGGTAGTCTGCTTTCTTCAACTACTGTGGTAACAGGGTAGATCTGCTGCGAGTCTCGCTAGCAGAGCAGTGGTAACAACAGCTTAACAGATTTCTTCATCTCCTTAAAGTGAATACATCTCAGACAAGGATATTCTGGCCATCAATTCGGTTGTACGGATTAGAAACCACTGTCGAAATTTATCATAGGAAGAACATGGGGAAACACGATGCATTTAGCTGCATATTTCCGGGTGACTTTGACAGGCCATCAACAGAAATTACAGTAACGCTGGTGTCGGTGCGAGGTGTCTTGCCTGAACTACGGTCGCCATTGGAATTTGTCTTAATTTGCCGGCTGTTCTGATCCCTAAGGAATAAATCGAGTCGAAAATATGGCAGTGCGTGAGGCCCGATGCAAAACTATTAAATGCTCAATTTACGTCACTAATGATGGCGGACTGCCCATTAACTTATTTCGCATTCATGACAATCGAATGCGGAATTCTCGGATATAAGCATGAAAATTGCCAGACCAGAGCTGGATTGCAATTACGACGCAATGATGGAGATTATAGGAAACGCTACGCTTTTCAGAAAACAGAACACGCCATTAATAGATCATATTCCCGTGTTTGACAGCATGATGTGCAAACCGATATTCGCAGGTGGAAACAAAACACAGTAGATGCTGGCTTGAAGGTCAGTAAGCACATGAATAGGGGAAGATTTGCACTCAGAGAAGAACTACCCCTACTCCAATACCGTAATCCATACTTTATAGCGAAAAAGTTGAATAACTGAAAATGCAGGAAATCGCATGGCTTCAAGCGGTTATTCTTATCAACAGCAATATCTCTGTCAAAAAGAATAAGCTCATAATACAGGACAGGGCGGGCCTCAAAAGCATTCTCTGGTACATTCGTATTCAACGTGTACTATTTCGCTCGGATAGCGGCGACGATTGCTTCAGGAGCTTTACTGGTGGTTCAGGTTAGCTTATTTGGTCTGGATTC